TGTTATCCTTTTCAGTGCAAGTGCTCGTACGATAATACACAATGAACAAAAATGTGACATCACAAAACGCTTCCATCGCTTATATCGTGTGAATAAAATATTTCATAATGATATAAGGAACCAACTTACAAGAGTTAGTGAAGCAATACTATGGATTCAGTAGACTTGCAATTATATCTAGTCAAAGTTATTCTATCAACTTACTTATAGGCTTCCGGAAGATCGTCGGAATGAATAAGTCCCATAGGTGGGTGTGGTGCTTGCCCTTCCCGAGCGGGTATGTTCATAACTGCAACAACACGCTCAGCTTCAACGTTAACTTCACTGACTACGACGCAGACGAGATCATTTGCCATGTAACCCCTCGTTACACCTTTCTTGTCCACCGCCGGCACAGTGGCCGTATTTAATATCAGTGCCTAAAAATACAACATTTGCGAACTTTATTAAAAAATATATAAATAAAATAGAGAGAGAGAGAGAGAGAGGAAATTGATATATAAAATCCCTGAAAAGAATAATATCAATAAGTAATATTATATCGATGTACCTTAACTCCTAATTCAGTAACAACTCTGGGACAGTCGCTACAGTTGCATAGCACCTTCAGAAGCAGACCTGCGGCGCTTTTGCCCATCACTTGGGCGTAAATTACATCTCCGACTATTAAACTCTGTAAATTAAACAGATAATATAAAGTTAAATTGTTGATATTGTTTTTTTCTTTCTAATAAATAAATATTTGCTTTTCCTATTATTCAAACATTCCATACCTCCAAAAAATTGCGAATGCGCTGAGATTTTTCCATGGTGACAAAGGTGTCGAGCGCTGGTACTGTAGCATAAAATTCTGAAAGTAGACAAATAGGCACGATTATATGTACGTGTCGTTTTGTTCTTGCGGATGAAAAAGAAAAACAGGAAATATCATCTTTTAAAAAATTATTACCTTCATCTCCAAGTTCTTGTTTGATGCATTCTGCAGATTTCTCCAAGTTTGCTTTATCGTACAGGGCATCCGCTTTTTTAGCAAGGAATTGTTGAAGCTTCAGACGTTTGCCTCTGTCTCCAAAGCTGCAAGAGATACATAGCGTTTCATTTAATTAAAAATATTACGCAAGGACAGGGAGGAGGCGTTGAATATGAGCAGCAATATATCTAGATTATTATCAGAGGCGATCGATATACAACGCATATACCTGAGAGTCTTTTGCCGCTGTTGATATATTTCAAAGCTAGGATCCTTGAGATTGAGCATGACCAGTTCGTTTTCATTGCGTTCTCCTTCCCATACTTTCTGCAACTGTTGGCCATGGTAGTTCAACGCTTGCGCCACGAGACGCGCGTCCATAGATTCCATTTCGCTCAACAAAGAGACCAATCTAATCTGTAAGACTGCGAAAATCGGCGCGTTCGAATTATATACGTCCACTTGTTTACGTTACTGTGAGATTACTGTGATTTCCACAAGTATGTCCGTTATATCGTTACACACACACAGATATATATCGGCACACATCGTTACACATTATAGATGTAATTATTCATAATTATTAATATTCTCTCATGCATAAAAAAACGTCCTTTGAACGTTTACGTTCCAACATGTTCAAGGACACACGTTGCCGATCGTCGACCACGTGGTCCGTCGAATTCGAAATTCAACACGTTATCGCTTCCGTTTTTTTTTTTCCCCTCTATTATCGCGCGCCTACTCGGAATGTCCGGCGGCATTGCAAATTATGAAAAATTGCAGCATTCCGCGCGGCCATCGCGCCATCCGAGACAAAGCGATCGCATCGTTCCGTGAAGCAACGCTGAACGAGACCCCCTGTGCCCGGATGAGTATCGGCCTCGTTGGCCTCGTCGAAATATCGCTCGCCACAGTTCAGTTATCTCGTATTAACGTTCACGTAGGCGAGAAGCGTGCGCCGTACGCATATTATCGATTTATCGACAACAAGATGGTCGTTGAGGGTAGAACCCGGGGAACTGCGAAGGGGCATCGGCGCCATGACGCTCTTTCTCTTTCTCTCTCCGCCGCTCCAAAGGCTACCACCTTTTATCCAACGCTAATCTCTCGCCAGCGGGACTGGGCCCGATAATTGCAAAAGTGTTACTTACCGCTCGCTCGGGATATTACGTTCCGCAGTGATCTGGCAACGAAACTCTGAAAGAATCACGTTGCGCTACGAGACATCCTCGGAATAAACGAATAAACGCGTGCCCGAGTCTCGAATCACCGAGTCACGATTGTGGCGAAAACGGAAACGATAGAAGGTAGAGGGGGCGATCGGGCGGCGCATGCGCGGCGCGCAACTGCCTTATCGAACGCCCGCCAAGCGTTCGTTCGACACGAACGAATGCGTACGTAGATACGTAGATACTCGTTTCATTGCTTGGAATCTTCTACAAAATGGGCTTAGAATCAATCGAGATCAAAAATACACCACGCCCGCGACAATGTAATGTTTTATAGATGAGATATTCCGATTTTTATCGAAAACTTTTTTTCTATACGCGATTGTAAAGGTGTCGTTATATGACATCAAGCGTCTGCGCAGAAAATCATGGGAATTGACCAATCGGAGTAGCCGGCGACAATTTGTTCCGATTGGTCAATTTCAACCGCAACCCGTAGTGTGATTACGGCTTTACGTCGCTGCTGTAGCAGAACATTCGTAGCTGTAAAGACGTCTCTTGCTTCTTTTTTTCCTGTTTTATTTACTCATTTGAAGGAAATTCCATTTTTGTCATCTGCTTATTGTATCACGTGTATCCACCAAATTTTATACGTTGCCTTTTTTCTCTTTATTAATTTTATTTTATTTGCGTGCATATTTTATTATGTAATTTATACATTTATAATAACAATATTATTCCTTTTATACGTTTATAATAACAATATTACTCCTTTTGGTAAATACAAACCTTGAGAGAAATTATCTTATATTTTTTTAGAATAATAAATTATGGAGAACATTGGAAATGGATAATTTGAAGAAAATAGACAATACTGTGTGTGAAAACTCTGTTAAAGATCAGTTAAAATCATATTCATCTTGTTCTATTTTGGAAACTAACTCTGGTTTTTCTTTAAATTCAAATCCAGATAGATGCTTTTCAAACCAATTCATTTGTAAATAGTGAAAAGGAACAAAAACTCGTAATTTAGACACACCTCGCACTTTGCAAGCAAGATATTAAATTTTTAAAATGTTACAAGACAGGGAGAAATGGAGCAAGAGAAATCTATGTAATGGTCGATCTACATAAAACATTATTCTATTTTTGGCAAATACAGATTCATAGGAAATTGTATCCTTTCTTGCATGATTTAAAAGATATAAGATACAAATTGTAGTTCATTTCGATAAAAATGATTGAAACCCTCGTGTACAAGAGTTTGTTTAAAAAAAACTCCTGCGAGAATAACAAAGTTAAACAGAAACAATTTAGTAACTAGTAATTAATCAATAAATGTAGTAATTTTTTAATTTAATACTTTATAGAGGAAATTTTAATTAATTTTTGTATATTTTTCTACTATTTGTTATATATTTTACAGATTTACTACAGTTTGACAACTTTGGTAATGAAGTTTGGTAATGAAGTAAGGCATAAAAATATTCGAATTAGTATTTTTAAGTGTAAAAGTCATCTAGTCTAACTTTGAAAAGTTGTGCTATCTCTTTTTTGTCATATACTTTTATTTGTACAGCTTTTATATAATAAAAAAAAAAATAAAAAAAAAAAAGAAAAAAGTAACTTAATAATTTATAAAGTTTATTAAATATTTTTCTGTTTTCATTTCTGTAAGTATAGAAATATTGTTAATAATATTGTTTTATTTTACCACTTATAATTATATCAAGTATTGTATTGCAATAAATTTTTGATAATAAATTATTTTTTTTATTTACTTGTATTATACTCTAAATGTAATAAAAATTTAATATTATTTTTACTGCTGCAAATAAAGAATATAATAATCAGTTAATAATCTAGTTAATAATATAACAATGTATACATAATATATAATAATTAATAATATAAACTTTTTGTAAAAACTGAAGAGTGTATAGTGTTGTATTTATATAATACAGATTCATTCATTTGTAATATTATAGATTTCCAGGAATATATTAATAATTTATTCACTCAATCAATTTTATATAAATGTAATATCTCATGTTACTTTAAATGATAATAATTGAAAAGAATTTAAAAGTATATTCATAATACACATTTAATTTTTTATACTGCAATAAGATGAAATGATTATCGAGGATGAATACTTTCTGCATAGGTACATGAATATTGAAATGGATTTTATACAGTAATGAAAAACTGTATTTTTTAATTATATCACACATATGTGTATAACATTTATCATTCTAATTGTAAGTTGTATAAAAACTGATTTTTACATAAAGTGATAGCAAAAAATAAATTTACTCTTATTTTGAATAAAAAAATGTATATGTGTATTTGTGTTTGTATATACATGTACATGTTATTCGTGTACATGTTACAAATGTTTTATTTAATATTACATTCATCCATACTAAGAATATGTAAATGTATGCAGAATATACACATGAATTATATTTTTGATAAACAGTATTTTTAATAAATACAATGTATTTATTAAAGTATATTTAATTTAAACACATATAATCACTTTAGTATTCAGAGAGAAATATATTATCAACGATAATACCATACATGTGGGCGATAACAATAATTACGTTGATTATAATTGTTATTCTTTCAGAATTATATTTAAATTTCTTATCTTGAATTTATCATTTTACACAATTAATATACAACGTACTAAAATATTACTTATATTTGTAATCGCTGCTTTTTTATCGATACAGTTTTCGCGGTTGTATATATTCAGTATTGAATAAAATTAAGAAAATATGAGGAATATTAAAAATTATATATATATATATATATATATATATATATATATATATATATATATATAAGACTATGTCAATTAAATTTATATCCGATTAAAATCTACCGATATTGGAGAAAGCAGCGAATAATGGTGTTCCGCTCGTCGTCGTGGTTGATGGTTGCTGATCACCGATATTTTTCAATAGATTACCTTGCAATAGACTGTCGAGTGCTTTCTGAACTGTCGGATCGTTTAGAAGAGGCGACGGTGAAACTCCCGTGGATGCGGTCGTCGTGGATGATGTTGTGGCCGTGTTTGATGCTATCGGCATAACGTGCATTTATCAAGTTCGTGGTTTCAACACCGTCTGAATGAATTTTCTACAGTATTTTAATTGTTTTTGTTAAATATTGTTCATGTATCTAGTTGTTAAAATACAGTCATGATATTTTATTTTATTAATCGAAGACTTTTACTTGCAAATGTTTTATCTTAAAATTACATTCCCAAACAACTTATATATGCTGCAAATATTTATATGCATAATCAACACGATATTCTTCAAATTTTGTCGATCTTTTATATATATACATGATCTGTTTAATCTTTTACCTGTTCCCCAATTAGCTGGTGGAACTGGAACTGGTGCCGAAGCTGGTGGTGGTACCGGGCTCGGTTCTGCCGCTCTTGGCGCGCTTGTTTTACTATTATTCAGAATATTCAGTATTCGCGTCTGTAACTCTGCTTGTTTTGGATCGTTGATCGATGTGAGCGGCGCTTTTACCGGCAAATCCTTCGCGTCGCCCAATTCAACTTGTACTTGTTCCTCGCGTTTCATATCGAGATACTTTATGACACGATCGTACTGCAGAACCGTAAGTTGATGATTGTCAGCCAGCATGTTTAGTAAAACCTGTATAGCGTCCGGATGACGCTCGCTTGCGAGAGGTGTATTTAGAGGAACCGAACGGCCGCCGGCTTTGTAATTCGTAAAATCTCGTGAAATTAAATTTATAGCATCTTCAACTGGCATATTCCTATGTTCTATAACATAAAAACGGTACAATGCCAATCAATTTGTGTTATAATAAATTATTAAGATTATTAATATTATTTATTATTATTATTTATTATTAATATCATGTGTGATAACAAATTTTAATGAATATTATGTGTGCTAACAAATTTTAATGAAGATCTTCATTCCTACAATTTATACCTTATTGAAATTCTTTACCTTGTGGTAATCCGTGTAAAATATTCAGTGTCAAAGAATGGTGTTCATGATTGATGGGTGTTACTACTACGGCGTATAAACAGCCACGACTCGCGATATTTCCCAAAACACGGCCTAAGGGAACGTCCTCGTTCGGAAACAGCAAGTCTACCATTAAGCCGATCTGCTTTAATCGTAATTCAATATCTTCTGCATATTTCCTGGATATTTAATAATATATGTATTGTATAACATCAATATCTAACTTTATATAATTATAAGTAAGGATTGACATCTCACGTTAACGCCTTATTAACGACGATAATTTCGCAGTCATTCTTTTCAGTTGCCAGGTAATCCATTGATGCTCCACTGACATTTCTACAAGACAAATGAATGTTTTATTATCTACATTTATACATGCATTTGTTTTTATTAAGTTATTAAATAAATAAATAAATAAAAAAATTGACTATAACTGTATTAGAATGTGTATAGGTAGAATATTATTCGATAAGAACTTATTGGGTATATTATTGTTGTTGAGAAAGATTGTTTAACTATTATATTAAGTTAGGTCAACGATGACGACATTTTACCCAAAACTCGCATTTGCATCTCTTGTTCCAGACGTCTTGAAATCATCATAACGATTTCCACCGTCATTGAATGAATCTCTGGCAAAATTGTTGCCACGTAGTCTATCTCCTTGTTTATGATCCCATTCTCTATTTACTTTGTCCTCTATTCGATTACCTCTATTAATTGGGCTTCGATCTCTGAAATTATTCGCGTTGTTTGGATTGTTCTGATTATTCTTGTTTCTATTCTTTCCACCTCTCGCTCCTCGTGTTCTATGAATATGGGTACCGCCTCCGGTACCCATTGCCCCACCACCAGAAACAGCATTTTGATTTTGGTTATTGCCTGGATTAGTTTGATTACGATTCTGATTTCCTCCAGGCCTATTCTGATTTCCCATCTGATTATTATTTCCAAACTGATTGTTGATGCCTCTATTTTGATTGCCATGACTAGCAACAAATTGATCATTTCCACGATTTGGATTACCTAAATTGAATTGATTGTTTCCACGATTTTGAGCGGGATTATTAAAAGGATCGTTTCCATTGTTATTATTATTATTATTATTATGTTTCCCATTATATTGGTCATTGTCGCTATTTCCTGTTTGATTTCCATCATCAAAGTTACTGTTTCCGCTATTCCTATTTTGAGGATTTAAGTCTTTTTGACTGTTAGCAAAAGTACTATCATTCCCAAAATTCTGATTCATACTGCCAATATAATTTGGTTTATTTGTACCAAAAGAGTCAGTTGCTGCATTACTAAATTGATTATTCATAGAATTGAATTGATTATTCAATCCACTCATTTGCTTTGCATTTGAATTGCCTGCATTTCCACCAGATTGATTATCTTTTTTGGCTGGTCTGACATCTAGAAAAAATATAGATAAATGAGAAGAAATATTTTGAATCATCTCCCTATACATTTTCTCTCAAAATAAATATTAACATTAACATTGAGAAAGATAAAAATAATATTATTTGTCAAATATAAGAAAAATATATTTATAAATATGTAAGTCTCTCTTCAACTATCCAACTTTCTATAATATACCTATACGTCTGCCTTTAAACAGTGCGCCATCTTCATTCTGTATAGCTTTCTGAGCAGATTGTTCATCCTCAAATTGCACAAATCCAAAGCCTCTGTTTATTATCGACGCTATAACAGTTCCATATTTGGAGAAATGTTCTTCCAATTCTAACTTTGTAACATCATCAGTTTGTAAATGGCCCACAAATATGCGACTAGACGCAGTAGCAGGATCTTTTAAGAGTCTGGCGCTCATCCTGCATTTTCATATAAAAAGATATCTTAAGACAACGGTAATAAAACTGACAAATTGTTATGATATAGATCTTTGTTAATATTTTTAAAATTTACAAAACTGGTTTTTGCATTGAGAAAGCATTTTTAATATATTATATTAAAGTCGATATTTTTATATGCTTTTAATATATACAAGAAATTAATTCAACTTTATCTTCATATATAAATGTTATGATATAGTTATATTATATAATATAAAAATGATTTCAGATTTAATAAAATTATTATATATGTGTATATTGTCTAACAAAATATTTGAATTTCTAAATAATTAATTAAATGTTTATATCATTTATCAAAATATTTGAATTTTTAAATAATTAATTATTATTAAATAAAATAATACAAATTAATATTATTATAGATTAATGTTAGATGTTTATTTTAATTACTAAAATATAATTTATTATTAAAGATGCCACAATTAAAATTCCAGCTATATATTGCTTAAATTTTAATCATTAAACCGGTATACTACATTATATTGTGTAAATAGTAGATATATCGAATTAGATATACTTATATTAGGTATATTTATATTTTATAATTACTTATGTACAAATGAAATAGCTTCATGCTTACTTTTTGATGATGTATTAATCAGTGTTGTGAGAGAGAGAGAGAAAGAGAGTTCAATTTTAAAACTCTCTAAATCTTGATAACTTGAAACACAATAAACTCAGTAAATTCTATAAGTTTCAGCAAAAAATTAACGAAGGGCATTCTCTTCCTGAAAGATAATTCTATAATCGAGCATCGGGACTCTTTGACACTATATCATAAAACATTGGTTTACGTCCGAATTTAAACTGACGTCTTGATTGTGCGTTAATTGAATTAACGCAAGACAAATGCGCAAGATTACGCACTTTACTATCGAAACTGCGGTCACTGTTTGTTTGCGTACAAAACCGTTTGTCGATTTATGATGAAGCCATCTTGCAAAAGCGTACTCAGTTTTCAAGCACGAATCATAAAGTCAAAGATCCAAACCAAGACTGTGTTCCGAACTGTTTCCGAAATTGCTGCCAGTTTAATGCCAGCACTGAAAATATACGATATACGTAAAGGTGCAATTTCATTGACGCTAAAAAGTAGCGTCAACCATTGGTTAAACAATGAAGCAACTACTTATTTCCTTGTTCAACCAATGGTTGATGCTACTTTTTAGCGTCAATGAAATTGCACCTTAAGTTCATATTTTTATGTTTATAGAGGACGCATCGTCCTTTCAGGGATAACCTAAAGCCGGATACTTTGTTAATCTAGTGACTTTAAGATCGCCTAAAAGCAGACTATGACAAAAAAGAGTGAAAACTATGAACAACTTTGTTGTTTGTTTTATAGATTTTAAAAATGGCTTGTCGTATGCTACATATTTAGAGTTGTAAATAATTTGATAAAAAATGTTCAATCTATAAATAATGATAACGCAAATGAAATATATCATTGTCGCTAAATCATTATATGTAATTAACATATAATGTGTATTTAAAATTAATTTATCAATTTAATTCTAATAAAATTATGAAATTTTTTTCAGGTATATATTATTGTTTAATATTGTTTAATTTATTGCTTGTCAGTCATTCACATTTATTAAAAATAGTCACTTTATTAAATAATGTGAGAAACTCTATGTTCTTTGCGAATAGTAAGTAGAACTTTTATGGAAATAGCATTTTGATAATAGTTTATATTTACAGTAGAAAATAGTTTGTATTTCACTGTGCTTTTGTTCTATAGGACCATGAATTATGAAAGGATGTGACAAGTATCAGTAATGCAGGAAGACGCAGAGGTAGAGCAAGAAGAGTAGTGAAAAGAGAGACCTAAATAAGGAGCAAATTATTGGCATGGGAAAAATTCCAATACAATTTCCTGGTCTGAACACTTCTGTGTTTAGAGGAAAAGAATTAATTCAACAGCTGAAACTGCTTGTAAATTTTGAAAGAAAGCAAAAACTTATGGAATTACCACAAAGTCAGACCAGGCCAATGCAAATAAAATTATCGCCATTGGAATGTGGTTGGAGGAGTGTTATAATGGATGGCAGAAGCATTGAATCAGATCTTATTGGAAAAGGTTAATATTTATGCTATTATTGGATTATAATGGTTAAATTACATACATACAAAAATCATGTGATATGATGTCTATTTTCAATTTTTTTTTTTTTGATGTTTCAGTTCTAAATATTAGAATCTTATATAATTAATATCTTTGTTTTCTGCAGATACATTTGAAAGTTTTGAAACCTGGATTTTGGAAAACAAAATGATAACTTGTATGACCAGTAATTTAGCACGTAAGACTAGAATCAATACATTTATAGTAACTGGGAATGGAAATGGATTGGCTGGATTTGCGTTATGAAAAGCCAAAGCATCCCTAAAGACGATTAAAAATAGGGCTGGTCAAAGATTAATGTATATTCCTACATGTAAGGAACACACTGGTAAGAAAATACTTGTCAGTACTATATAATATAAAATTTATTTCTTCTCTTTTAATATCACTTTGTATTTTTCAGTGTTACATGATTTCTTTACACAGTTTGAGAATATAAAAATATTTGTAAAGAAAATTCATGAAGGATAGTGGGCTTGTTTGTCATCATGCGATAAAAGTATGTTGGGAGATAATTGGCATAAAATATATATATGCCAAAGTACAAGGAGGAATGTAAAAGCATTCTTTGGTTGGCTTATTACAAATAGGTGTGAATATAAAGTATTTAAAAGCATATTATACTTTTTATTTAATTTATATTAGAAAGAAACATTTTTTTATTTATAAAAATATATATACACACACATATATATATATATATATATATATATATATATATATATATATGTTACACATAAAGCTAAAAAAAAACGTAAATTGTGTCGATTAATTAATTAATTGTTTTATTTAATTATCAATTTATATATGTATATCATTAACAATGATTTTTTGTTTACTTAAACTTGATAAGGTTGTACATAAGAAACAATCTTTTTTATTTAGTATTTCAAGCATATTTTCATAGAACTTTAATTTAATTATTATATTAAAAATGTTGAACAAAATAAAGAATTAAAGCTGGCTTTCTCTGTAGTCTCATGGCAGATTATATCAGTAATCATACTTTAATTATTGCAATATATCATGAAACAAATCAATATATCAAATATGCTATATCAAATATGTAGTGTAAAGATTTTAATGTTTTCGTATACGATCTATTTTTTATAATTTTTTCGTATACGATCTATTTTTTATTCTATCGATGTTTTTATAGTGATGCACCTTGAGCACTTTGCTTCATATATTTGCAATAAAAATATATTAAAGCAAATTATTTTGCAAATTTATTATTCTAATTTTTATTTAGAAAGAATAAGATTTAAAAAGACACATGAATTTTTTCAGATTTTTTTTACATATTTCTATTGAAAAAAACGCATCAGATAAAACTGACTTTCCTGTACATTTTAAATGTGCCAAAAGATTTGCTCTTTATTCCACTTACTGCAATAATGTACACTAAAAATGACAGATCTATATTAAAAATGATAGATCTATATTTAGTAGTTGAAAAGAAAGAGAGGAGAAATGAAAAGTGTATCTAGAGAATTTAAAAGAATAAAAAACAAATCTAAAAATAATAATACATAAAGATTAATATTATGTATTTTTTCCATGAGGAATGTGGGGCGCACATTTATGCATTTATTTATTTAGATGAGATTTACTTTAGAGCACATTCAGTATTCAACTTTTATTTTATTTTCTCTTTCTTACGATATATAAGTATAACATAATTACCTGCAAATGCTATCATTTTTGTATGCTTACAGTGATACAGAAACAACATTACGAGTACTATATTTACAGATAACATCTCTATAATAAAAAAAGCACCAAAAATCTAATGGTGAAAAAAGGGTAAATATTGTAGACCAGCATAAGTATCAACCAATTATTTCACCGCTCTGTTTCATTAGAGTTGCAATTTTCTTTTATAATATCATAAATATTATAAATAAGATAGAGATTTCCATACGTTTCAAATAAATTTATATATTTTATATATGTAATACTGCGCACACATATTAAAAGGTGATAATATCGCAGTTATAATAAGATACAATCCTGGCAATGTAGCAATTTTTGGATTCTGAAAATAATTTAATTTGATTTATTTTTGAGAAATGCACACAATACTTTAGAACAAATTATTTTTGTGCCATGTATTACCTGTGTAAAATTCCACACGCAGTATCATATTGTCTGTGATATATGAAAAGCTTCATCGATGAAATAAATGGTTGAATATGATTGAGATATAAGAAAAGTACTTGTAATGTAGTAATATAGTACTTGTAATGAATAACGTTAATGTGGAATCCATAAATATTTTATATTTTAATTTCATGTAATCGAGATGTGATAAGACACTCATGATTACTTTAAAAATGTGTCCACAAATATCATGTAACTTCAATAGCTGCACATTCGTCAAATTAATCCTATTACGTTAAATGAATCACAGCAGCTTGTTTTAATTTAATCTAACCTAACCAATTATATTATATGCTCCTCATTAAAATGTGTAAAACTGTACGTCGCACATTTAATACGATTAATATACTACGTAATAAAATGTAATACACTAATGAAATAATTAAATATTATTTTTTAAAGCATGATAAAATCCAGGAGCATACGCTTGTGTTTACATTCGAAATCCAAAGCCACTGAGAGGTTAAGTTAGGTTAGGTTAGGTTAGATCAAACAAATTTATCGTTTAACAGTTGGCAGCCCTACGAGATAGGCTGTGCAGCACTGCGCGCGCGTATACAAAATAAATTTGAAATCGCTTCTAGCATAACCGTCTTCACGCAATCGACTTTATTTGAATTGCACCGAATCCAATTATGATGCCGATTTGTCCGAATGTATTCGGGACATCGCGATGCTGTATAAGCGTCGAATGAGCACAAATTATCACGCAAATATGATAAATCAAATCTACTCACCGGCTGTTCCACAAGCCTCCTCGGGACAGTTCGCTCGCCTCGGGACGTCCTATTCCGATCTTGATGCACACAAATCCACACGATATCATCAACACGAACGCGCGACACTTTATTCGGCACTCCTGATATTCGCTCGCATCCGATAATCATCATCAAGGGCGCGAATAACGCGACGCAACTTCGCTCCATCTTCGCAATGACGCCATCACTGAATATCGTCAAAAATCGCTGTCGCGCGTTTCCCATCGACACACTATAAATAGTCGCGCGATCATCCTTCGCGACACTCTCGAACGCTCGGTTTCACTCGGCGATAATTCCGTTCTTAAAAAACGCCGTTAAAAGATGCGAAAAATGCGGACGTACGACGATCCGTGTAACTAGCGTCATAACTACCGAATTCAACAGCGTCACATGGCGGACCGTAATGACGCGTTTTGGACGTAGCAGATGACGGTAGTAGTCACAGCGCCCAACATTGGCGCCGAACCAAGTAGCGCATTCGGTTTCTGCCAATTCCTGCGCGGCAACTATATGATTTCACTGATATGTCTACGGCCTTTAATTATTAGCACATAATTAAATATATAAAGATGGAATCAATATAAATCATATTGGTCATAATATGTAAGAAAAGACTTGCCCGAAGACAATAGAGAAAAAAATGGAGAGCATATTTTTAATTCTTTTTTCTTTTAGTAAAGGATGGAAATGTCCCTATTCATAGGCTTGTTCTTTTTTTCCTTTTCGCGCAATATTCGATTCCAATCATTAACGTAGAAAATTCATCAGTATAATTATGTAACTGAAATAGATAATGATACGAAATGATTCGATTGTTTTATCCGCGCCTTTTCCAAAGCTCATCATCTTACTACACTATTTAGTTTACATTTTTTAAACTGAGAGCCGATTCACTACTACAGAGTTTGAAGAGATATCCAATGACGACAAATTATACTTGCGTTGATTA